GGGGAACGACATCCAATCAGCAGGAATCAGGTCGGAGGTCCTGACTCGGACAAACTGACTCATCCACCCTCGGTCTTTGTCCTCATCGATACTGGAGAAGAGAGATTTCAAGGATCGGCATTGCAGTTTTATCAAGCCACCTCGGTAAAGTCGAGGACTGTACAGTCTGATCAGATGGTCTAGGGTGAAAGGCATCCCCTCGACCCGGCTCGAAAAGAATCTGATCAAATGAACGATTCGCCAGAATGAAGGGTAGATCTGGCCAAGCGTCACTTGGTATCGTCAGCAAAAGTCAAGAATGACCGAATCTATGGGACCCTGAGCTGGAATTGCAGGGGCCAGCGTGAATGGGTAGGTATACACGCTTAAGTACCCCGCTTTATATGTAGTGATGTCCTCCTCGGGGGAAGGGATCACTACGTCTTTTTTCTCCCACTTGCAGTCCTTCTTAACTTGCTGGAGCTCGTCCTCGGTTATCAAACAAATGTATCGAGACATGGGCTCACATCGGCCTGGTGTTGATATAGGTTTCTCGATCTTGAAATCGGATGTTATTTCACACGGCGGGGGAATGCACTCCTCAATACGAGGGGGCACTACTGCTTTACTGTTGGTCGGTCGAGAAGATGAAGAAGCTTTTTCTTTTTGGGGAACTGATTTAGATGTCTTAGCCATTATAATGCGAAAATTCAAGAAAATGGAGAATGTTGACAATGAAGTAAGAGCTAGTAGGAGAAAAGAGAGAATTCAGAGAAGTTGAAAGAGCTAATGAGACTTTGAGAACAATGTGAGAATAAAGTTTGCAAGATTGTGAAGTTGACCTATTTATAGGGGTCATTTACGCGTACTAAGAAAGCCAAAAAATAGACTGTCAGTCGCCTCCAATTAATGACTTTGGGAACCGCACGACAAGCAACCTTTCAGTCACTTCAGCCGCTGACATCACGAGATTGGCATCAGGATCAAGGCGTCGAAAATTAATTCGCTTCTTATCGACCTATTTCGAGTTCGAGCAAATGCTCACTCAACTACTAAGCCCAAGGGCTACCCGAATTTGGGAAAAATTTTCACTCGAGGATTGTCTACAAAGCCTAAGGGCTAACTTTATTTCAAATTCGAGACCTTGCCTCACTCAACTCGGATTCAGGATTCCCGATGTCCCGAGCTCGCATCAAATCAATTCGAGCTTAGCTCGAGGATTAACAAAAACCTTAAGGGATAGTATATTGATCGAACCTAAGGGTTTATATTTTGAGTCAGTTATTCGCACTAATCACTAAAGTTATACAATCAAATTTTTTCGCAAATAAAGACGGAATGGAATTCAACATGAGCCAAAAATGAGACAAAGAGATCCTTTTATATTCCAAGATATGGTTAAAAAATATATGTACAACATCCACGAAGTATCCTTACGCAGGAACAAAGGAGCAAAATACAAAAGTCAAGAACCTAATCTACTTTTAAGGCCACGTCCTCGAGAGCGGCATCTTGGGGAAACTCCTTCCCGGGGACCCCATTTTGATCTTTGAAAATGTTTATGTGCCTGAAGAAATTTAGGGCAGAGAACCCTCGATAAATGTAACTATGTTTCCAGCAGCGTGGATCGAGCATTCTTTTGAAATTTTGGGCCATAATCCGTTAAAAAAGAGCGGCAAAAGAAAAAGACCAGAAGGGAAGACAAGAAGATGTAGCTTCACCTTCTATCACAAGAAAACCCAAAAAAGGTTGCAAGATGCACGAGCAACGATCCAAGAATGCTCATCCTTAGGATGTTATACCGGTGTAGGATGCAAAGCTAGTAGATGATAGTACCACCTCACTCCGTGAAAAGCAAAAGGAAGGAAGTGCCACACCAGGTTGAAGTTAAGAGAGATGAGCGGCAGAATAAAGTTCACATATTTTTTTTGATGCGGGAAGGATTCTACGCCCTTCTCTCGTTGTTTCGAATCAAAGCTTTGAAAAGGAGAACCTTGGCGTAACTGGTAAAATTGCTGCCATGCGACCAGGATGTCGCAGGTTCAAACCATGAAAACAGATGATTAGAGAAAGGAATAACAAAGGGAAAGAATCAAAGTAAATGAAGCTGAAATGCGTACAGTTATTTGTTCAACGGAGTAGCCTCATATTTATAGAGAGGCAACGACGGTTCGGCGGCGCTAGTGGCCGACCAGTGCTGGCGCGCATTTGATGTTTTGGGGAAGCGTGCTGACGTGACATTTCTGATCATTTCAAGGCGCCTACGTCACGAACATGACGTCAGCATGAGAGGCTTGGAAAAATCGAGGTTCAAATCGTTTCTTATCATCTTATTCTAAGAAATGCGGGGACTATCTGTATACGGTCAAAATCATATGCCTCCGATTTATAGGCTCGAGGGTCCGTCATAGGCCCGAGTTCGGGGGAGGTCGAGTTTGAGACCAGTGGACCGGAATCGAGCTGAAAGACAGAGTGCAATGCCCGGAGATAGGAGTACGAGTAATACCGGGGCCAAGTATGCTCGACCCTGAAATAGTACCATTAAGAATTTGTAACGAAATGAGCTAGATTCCTGCCACGTCCGCAAAAATCATGGCGCAAATCCCGGAATAGGATTGTACGATTCCGTACTAGGCGGTTAGAGAGCTGTATATCAAGAATATTCCTTACTGTAAATAGAAATATACCTTATTTAGGGATTTCGCTATTATATAAAGGGACCCCAATCATTTGTAAAGACACATAATCACTGAGAAAAGAATATACTCTCTACTTTTTGCTTACTGTTCATCAGCATTGTCCTTTAGCTCTATTGCTCTTGCTTTACTTGTCTTACTTTATTGCTCTTTGTCCGTCTCGAGGTCACCATCTCGAGGTCACTACTGTCAAGTAATATTCGTTTGATTCACTTGTCTCTTTCACTTCTACTTCATAACTTGTACTGTGACCTTTCTTGCATTATAATTATCTGATTCTTTATACTTTTGGTTGCCAAGAATATGGCCATTAAAGTATAGGAAGGGGAACAGCAAGTGTAGCAGGGTTCAATCCCGTGGTTGTCTTGTGGTATCCTTGTACTTTCCGTCTTTCCCCCCTTTTGTTGTTTGCTTTTGTTATATTACCGCCACGTAGACTGGAAGGAATCTGCTTTTGCAACAGATATGTGACAGAATAATGACGCACATAATGATGTAATAAAAGCTATCTTTAAGAATTTCAAGGACTTGGACAAATTTGAAATTGAGGTATGACTTATGAGTAATTGAATGATAAAACATATTTTTATCGATGCATAGATGTAATAATAAATAGAAGTGTACTCTGTTACTATTTTTCAAAATAAATAAATGCATATACTTATTTAAATGTTTAAGACAATAAATAAAAAATCAAACAATATATTCATAAAATATCAGAGAAAATTTTAACTTATAAGGTATAAAAATAGTTTTTGATGAAGCATTCAAAAAAGTTAGTGAAGGTTATGGGTGGTGATGGTCGTGAATCGTGATTGATGAGTAGTTGTCGAACGATAGTTGTACAGTGGTGGCTGCTTATGTTATGCATTGGTAGCAAGAAGTGAAGGTGGTTGATAATAGTAGCCGGTGGTGGATATAGCTGGTGGCTTGCACTAGAAGTGATATTTGGTGGTGGAGATGTTTGGGAATAGTGGTTGTGGTAATAGTTGGTGATGAAGGTGATTGATAGTGGTGGTCCTGGTGGACATGTGGTGAAAGATGATGTCAGCTGATTAGTACGTTTTGTCGAGTTCTTTTTTAGTATATATGTATATACAGTAATAAGTAAATGGTAATATTGAGTAATAAGTATAAAGAAAATGATACTACTTGTCGTTATAATAATTTAAATATTTGTTCACTTATGTTAAATATGAATATCACTTACACAAATTCTACGTACACTACTATGTGTGATAAGTAATATTCCCCCGTTTCAATTTATGTGAATCTGTTTAACTAGGTACGAAATTTAAGAAAATATGAAGACTTTTTGAATTTGTAGTCCTAAACAAGTCAAAAAGGGGTTCAGAGTATTTGTATGATTATAAAAGTTTCTCATTAATGGCAGAATTGGAAGTTTAAGTTAAATTGTTTCCAAACTTAGAAAAGGATCATTCTTTTTTGAACGGACCAAAAAGGAAATAGGTTCACATTAATTAAAACGGAGGGAGGAGTAGTAGTAGATAGAATCCATTGGAGAGATGTATTATCTTAGTGATTTTTGTTTGACTCAAAAAATACTAGATACCTTATAAGTGAGAACAATCAAAGTGAATCAAGGATCAATCGTAATCGAAGATAATAAGATCTAGATATGCGTATTATATTTGTTATAGCTTCCAATAGATTGGATATTTAAGTGTGTGTGTGTGTGTGAGTGAGAGAGAGAGAGAGATAGAGAGCTTGTTCAATAATACATACCCCCTTTTTACAACATTGGGATCCTCCTTTATATAATAGGAGACCCTCCTTAAAATAATAAAATAATACAGAGATTGGTCGCGTTCCTTCGAGAGAGAGACGACGGAACCGATGATACACTTCACGCCGACATTCTTAGGTCGTGCCCTCACTTCGGTTAGCGTATATTCGTTGGTCGTTCCTACCAACGTGGAGACGTAATGGGCAAAATTTGACCCTATACAATTTTAAACCTCTATATAAATGAATCAGATCTATTCAGTGAAATAAATAATCGCAAAAGAAAAAATTACATTTAATAAATTAATATCTGAATAATTCATATATCAAATTTCCATCTAAGACAAAATCCAATAGCACGCATAGTCATCTTTCACGGGTCTGCATCCGAAAGCAAACAATATAACTCACCCCTCCCGGCGGTTATATCTTATCCCAAATGTGGGGACAAGTGTTTGAGAATTTTTTAGGAATAAAAGTAGGCATGCGTCTATACTATGTGGACAAAAGTCAAATTTGTCATTGCCTATGTTTGTGTTTTTTTTTTTTTCTTTTTTGGTAAATTATGTTTGTGGTTCTTTTCTTTTTTCTGGGTTGGTGATTTCCTTCCCCTTATGTTTGTGGTTAGAGGCAGAAAAGAAAGCCAAAGAGCCGTGTGAATTCATCAGAGAGATATCACCAACCCAACTCACTCACCCCTTGCCATGATTTCTCTTCTGAAAAAGCCAACCCACTTCTTCTCTTTCTTCCCACTATAGAGAAACTCGATAAGCTACCTGGCTTCTTCTCCATCATTTCATTTCTCTTTTTTCAAGTAAAGATATTAAAAAATACAGAGAACAACATATATGCACACACCCCATCTCTCCATACATATATGTATGTGATGAACGTTGTAATCAATTTCACTGCTATTATTTTCCTACATTTAGATGCTCGTTAACCATTTCAGGAGTTCTTGCTTAATTTACCTTAAATTTTGACTGCAAAAGAGATGGGGTTTCTTGGACATGATGCATCAAATCTTAAAGTCCTAGACTGTTTACTGAGGTTATTTGTCATTCCCTTAAGTGTCGCCTCCATATGGCTGTCTGTCTCCAACCAACAGGATAATAGCAGCTATGGGAGAATTGAATTCAGCAATATCTCAGGACTCAAGTGAGAAATTATTTATTTTTATCTTCATGTTTTTATTGTGTTTTTTCCCCTTTTGATGCATGTTGAAGTAACAATATAGTAATTTGGAACAGGTACATGGTTGGCATTAGTGCTGCATCAGGTGGATATGCTCTTCTTACAGCTATATCTTTGTGGGTCAGGAGTTTAGTCACTAAAGCATGGTTCTTCTTTCTTTCTGACCAGGTTTTCACTTCCCCCTTTTTCTACAGTTTGATACTTTGTTTTTTTCCTGAAGAAATTGTGTCTCAAAGTTTACTTGGGTCATTTTTACACTAATATAATTCTCCCATTTGAGCTTCTGTTCTTTCTGATGCCCTTTCCATATGGGTTTTGCACAGATTGTAGCATACTTAATGGTTACATCATTGGCTGCACTAACAGAAATTCTTTACTTAGCCTATAATGGTGATCAAAAGGTGACATGGAGTGAAGCCTGCAGTTCCTATGGGAAGTTCTGCAGTAGATTGAAGCTGGTTTTGGTTCTCCATAGCATCACATTTTGTTGTTTCCTTGTATTAGCTGTGATTTCAGCTTACAGGCTCTTTAGCAGATTTCAGCCTCCTTTAGTTCCTAGTAAAGAGAATGAAGAAGAAAATGAAACGCGTAAATGAACTCATTTGTGGTGTTAATAGTTTTGGTTACCAAAAATCACATACATGGATCAAGTCCAATTCAGTTGATCACATTATCTGATATTGTTGTTACCACTTGTGAGTGGGCAAAAGATTGAGGATTTTAATATAGTGTTTGATGAATAAAAGTTTTTGTCTTTAGATCTCTGTTTTACATGGTTGTTTGTTAGCATAATCCAAGATAACTTAGGGATGGCAATTGGGGGGCTGGGCAACCTTTGACCCACTAAGATTTTGACCTGCCCTGCCCCAGTCCCGTTTAGCCTTGTTCCAAAATTTTGCCCTGTCCTGCCCTATTAAGCCCTGTCCCGTTTAGATTTATTTTCATTTTTTTTCACTTTCCAGTAAATATTTTGTCTTGAAGATTTTTTCTTTTCGAGAAACATGTGATTACCTCTTCTTATTTATTTTTTTTCTCCAAAACCATTTAATATAACTTATACACACTAGCTATTTTTTAAACTATCAGTGTATAGCAGGTCACTTACTATATTTTTTTGGTTGTAAAATTAGAATAACTATAGACAATTAACTCCATTAAAAGTCATAATCTTAGCAAGATGGTGTAAAAACACTACTGCTATGAGACACCAAAAATAAATAAGTTGTATCTAGTAACTTGAGCATATGGATGGGATATCGGATGGCATGCACAATATGAGCTTTGGTACTTCTTACCGTAAAATTGACATGCCTGTTTAAAAAGGAAAGGTTTAAAAAAAAGATTCATCCTTTAAAGGTATTATCTCAAATTTGTGTCTGTTACATCCTCTAGCTACTTCAATATCAATTTATGAAAGAAAAGAAGACATGGACAATAAAGTAAGCAAGGGACTGACCTACAACCTATCCTGCCCCATTAAATTTTTTCAAAAATATAGTTTTGCCCCGCCCCGCCCTGCCCTGTCCCGTTTACTGTTTGCCCTGCCCCGCCCCGCCCCGCCATGCCCCATTTGCCATCCCTTAGATAACGTACCACCAGATAATTTGTGGCACACAAAATGGGAAAGGAAAAAAACGAATGATGAGAGGCTACAAGTATGAAACTACATGACAGAAAAAGGAGGAGAAATTGCCACTAGGAAGACAAAGTTGTGGTGAATCTGCCGATGATTAGAAATCTCTGTCTATGATATTAATTGTATTTTCAAGACTAGTAGATTATACCCCCGCAAAGGGCCCTCAGAAAAGGTTTACGTTATATTTTGCGTCGTAATATTATTTGTTTAAATATACCCTTTTTATGTTAAATTTATTCAAAGCGGACATTTAATTCTACGGGGCACTGTACATTTGATGAAATGGATGCTACGTGGCATGCCAGCGTCCCTAATACATATATAAAAGACTAAAATTTGAAATACAATATTTTTCATAGTAGCGGTAATGGTGACAATAGTGGTGCAGGGAAAAAAATTTTAGTAGTGGAAAAAAATAGAAGGGAGAGGTAAAATGTGTTAGGGGCACTCATGTGGCAAGCCATGTGACATCCACCTCATCAAATGTTAGTGTCACATATGATTGGATGTCCATATTGGACAAACTTAACGGAAGACGGGTATAATTGTGCCAATAATATTACGGCACAGATATATTTGGACCCAAAGTGTAACAAATGATATATTTAAACCTTTTTTGATAGTACAAGAATATTATTGGTTCTTTTTCGGATTATACCAAAAAACAGAACTTTTCGCCTTCTAGTAACACAAGTAAAAAGGAAAACTAAAGTGAAGCGGAATTATTTGAATGTGAAATTCCACTTACTAAAATTAGAGTTTTACAAATTTAGTCCTTGCTCTGAGTTAACATGCCAAATGCGTTTAAAATGGAAGAGCCAGTTGGAAATATTCGACCATAAACTGTGGAAAGTAATAAATCAAATTCTCATATTTTAAAGTAGGAGAAACAGTGATTTCAGTACTTTGTGGAAATTATTCCAATTGTAGCTGTATTTTTTATCGAGCATATTTGACCTTTAATTAGTCAAATGTACAGTTTTTATCCACGTAACTAATGGTGCTAAGCTGTGTTAAAATACTCAACGAAATAATTATTTAAATGATTAAAATAAAAGGTGAAGGAAATGCTATCTGTTTGACTCAAAAGTTATCGATATACTTTGCAAGCTTAAAAACAATTAAAAGTAAGAAAGGGTAAATCGTAATCAAATATAATAGACCTAGAGATGAAAAATGAAGTTGTTGTTGTAGATCTAATAGTGATAATATGAACTCAAGAGAAAGTATTCGTTAGAGATAGCGATAGAGAGAGAGTATGAGAAAATGAGAGAGTTGTATTATTTCAGAATCCTCCCTTTTTTACAATGCGAAGGTCTCCCTTATATAATAAGAGACCTTCCTCGAAATAATAAAAAAATTACAAAAATAGGTAATGTTTTCCTAGTGAAGACACTGAGTCTTAAACGATGTCGCTTTTGTCCCCACGTCCGAGTCGTACCCTTACGTTAGTCGGCATATACTCACTGGGCGTACCCATTGGCGTAGAGACGCTGACGGTCAAATTTGACCCTATACAGTTAGTCCCTCCGCTCGTTGGAGACGCATTCGGTGGGCGTCTTCAATGGGCGGAAATGCAAACCTCGGCTTAGGAGAATTTGACCTCGACCAGGGGCGGCAACATGAATGAGGTAAAATGTATGACGTTGTTGAGCCACTGACGCATGGCTTTCTTTTTGGAATGACGTCATCGCCTGTATGCATCATTAGTATATTTGCCCCCGAGGTGGTTCGGAGGATGATGTGACATTTTGGTTTCCCGCGCACGTTTTGAATCATGACTCTTCGATTTCTGCGCAACTTATCCCTATAAATAGGAGAGAGGTTCGATTCGATTTAACTTTCAAACCTTCGGAAAGCATTTTCTGATTTACTCCTTTGTCTTTCTTTCCTGTAACCGTTATTTCGTGTGGCATTCCTCCACTTCTTTTGGAGTCATATTTCTCGTCGTTAGTGCATTATTTCCCAGACAGAATCATCATGGTAAAAAGTAGTCAAGGTGGCAAAAAGACCAAGGACACTGACCCATCTAGGGATCCGCTTTCCTCTGGCGGTGAGGGGGAGGAAGTAAAAAAGACCCTCGTTCCCCTTTCTGTAGACAACGTCCTCCCAAAGGACATGCATATTTGAAGGGATTTTCAAACGAAAAGTCCAGCCCTTCCCTGGGAGCGTAGAGATTTACTGCAATCTCATCTAGACAACCTTCGAGCGACACACAACATTCCGGACCATGTGGAAATGGCTCCGGCTGGGATGGACTACGCCAATGTGCACAGGCCTGGGTACTGCACATTTTACGAGTACCCGTTATTGATCGGCTATAGTCTCCCGATCTTCCCTCTAGCGGAGGAGCTTTGCCGCTTTTACAATGTGTGCCCGGCTCAGCTTACTCCTTACACCTTGAAGGTGTGCAGGATTCTGACCACGTACGCGGCTAAGGCTGAGTGCGGCGTCTCAGTTCACCATCTCTTACAGTTATTCAGCCCTGGTTACCTGAGGGGTACCATGTTGCAATTGAAAAGCCGTGGTACGAAGGGTTTGGTAGTTAGGGCTGACGACAAGGCCAACCGCCTCTTCTGGCGTAGGTACTTCTACATCAGGACGGAGCACCTGGTGTCTAAGCCTGAAGGATTCCCGGAAAGGTGGAACCCAGATCGTGAGTACCTTTATTTGCAGGATTCATGACTGTTCGCGACCTTGACCATTTGACCACTGTGATTTCATTCTTTTTTTTTGTAGCGAGGGCTTCTCCACCCCAGTTTATTGATGATATTAAATCATGGGTGGAAAGATTACTACCTTATGCGGAGGAATGCCGTACCTGGGCTGCATTTCTTCAACAGTACGGCCCGTCAGGTAATTCTTCGGCCTTGGTTTGGAAACTCCCTTAGATTCTGTTACCTAACCTACTCGTGTTGGCAGGTCGGAGCGCCCCCAAGAAGAAGAAGGCTGTTGTTGCCTCGCCTAGGGCGGAGACCGACTCTGATGGCGAAGACATACCCTGCGGCTCGTTCGGCGATGGCGCTCCAGAGGTTCCTCAGCAGGAGGCTGCGCCTATGGAGGCGTCTGCAAGTGAAGCGACTCCTTCAGTGCCGTCCCCGCGGCTTACGGAGGAGACTTCCGAAGGTGAGGAGCCGCCAAAGAGAAAGAGGCGGCGGTTGAAACGGGAAAGGGGATAGCGGTTGAAGACGAGAGGGTAAGTGAACCTCGTCAAGTATCGAGGCCGATTTTCATAGCCGATGCTATCCGTTCTGGGAGGTCGGCTCCACAAAGGAGAGTTGTTGCCGATGCCAGCCCAGCCCGTGTTTCGGAGAGCGGTTCGTCGGCCGCTGTTGAAGAAGTGGGCGATGGTGTCGCGGGGGCGGATACTGAGGCCGCCCGTGGAGATGCAGATGGGTTGACGAGGGGTCCAGCCCGCGTGGAGATGACGGCGGGTAGGTTTAACCGCCGAATTATGATCCCAGGAGGGTATAACCTGTTGCAACACAGCGAGCAGGCTGCAGCGGATATGACCCTGTTATGTGCGGCCGCTGAGCGTGAAATGTTGGAGGGTGTTAGCGACGGGGACCTATCACGGAGGGTCGCTGGCGCGGCCTTGCAGGTAGCTTTCAGTTTTCTCTGTGTGCCGTAGGGCTAACTGTGATGCGTACTGACCTGCCTTTCCTCTTTTTCTTCTCCTTTCTAGACTCTCATTTTAGAGGTGTAGAGGAGGCGGCAGGCGCACAAGAAGGCAGCCACTTTCAACAAAATGGCGAAGAAATACCAACGGTGCCGCACCAAGCATCGGGCGCTGGCAGACCTGCTCAAGCAGGACCCGAAATTTCGGGTGTTTCGTGAGGGGCTCGAACAGTCGGAGGCCCAATTGAAACGGAGGGTGGCCGAGCTGGGGCAGGTCGACGAGCAGCTGATGACTGCTCTGGCTCGGAACATTGAGCTGGAGACTCTTCTCCAGTCTAAGGAAGAAGAGTTGGAGGTTGGCCGTGGGGTAGCGGCGGAAGCTGCTGATTTGCGGATCAAGGTCGCCGCTTTGATCGCCGAACTCGATGCCAAGGCGGCTGAGATTGAAGTCCTTAAGCGGACTGCTGCACCAAGGCCTGATGAGGATGCGCATCGTGAGGCGCATGATATGT